CTCTCTCTCTCTCTCTCTCTCTCTCTGTTCTCTCGTTCACCAAACTCGAACGACGCACGTTTCGTACACTCGCCGGAAACGTCTCAGCAATCGCGGCCACGCGGCTCGAACCACGTCGACATCCTCGCCATCTGTTTCTAGGGAGCCGGTAGCTCGCGGTTCCACCGTAGCGACGATCCGCCCGACACTACATCGTTACTCAGCCCGTCTACGGCTGACGACACACACGTTCACGGTTCAACGAAGTGAGTCACACACGCGCGAGGGAAAGGAGAGACGCGTGCACACGCGTGCTCGAGACGTCGAGACGTCGTAGGTTACCATTCTGACAGGTTCAGCCCTCGTTCGAACAGATCCCTACCAACGTTTCCTTACAGCGAGAAGCGATACGGCTAGAATATCAACGTGCACTCTGGTAAACTAAACTCGAGGTTTAACGCGAACTCGCGCAGCAACAATTGCTTGAAATAATTAAACGCTGCGGAAAGAGATAACTCTGCTCTAGATAAAAACTTTACAGAACGGAGGAGGACTGATTTGCACGCTCGCGAGCGTGCTCGCAAATCTCTCGTACAGTGGACGTGCTGACAACGCCTAAGCGGGGAACGTAAGGGTGGAGGAACACTCGCTTGGAGGGTGAGGCTGATCGAGAAGTTTGGAGAAGTTCCCATAAAGCAACGTGGAACGGCTGGCGACGCTGAAGCGATACGCGTCCAGGAAACGGCGTTAGTTAGCGACGAAGAGACGCGTCCAGGAAACGTTCCGTGAGGCGTACACACACGCTCGTAATAAAAACGTCTGGCCGGCTGCCAGCCGTTGGGAAATTTACCGGCCGTCTTCGGCCACGACACAGCGCCGACACAACCGGCAGTTGTCGTGAGACAAACCCGGAACAAAGCAACCGGCGACCACCATCATCCTGCACGAAAGTGCATCCAACTCGTTTGCATCGCGTCTCGCTTGCAAACCTATCGTCGCTATTAATTCGACTGGCTCGTCGTGCAGATGTCGTTTGTCGATGGTGCATCGTCGACTGGGGATCCTCTTTCGTAACTGCATCGTTCTCAACGATGCACTAACTTTTCAACTGCGTTTGCAGTTGGCACCCTCGAGAGGGTGCTCGAACTATCGGCGCGAATATTACCGCGAGAGAAAGAAAATCGTTCGTTGTTTGGAGAAAGCAAAGAAAGCAAAGAGTCCTGCCCCGTTTAGAGTCTGTGGATGAGAGCACTTGATGATCTTAATGTTTTATTGTCCTACACAACAGGACTTTCTCTCGGACTCGTTAACGATAATGCCTCGAAACGTTAGAAATCCGCTTTGTAGAAATCGAGGTGCAAAAATCCAAAGATCGGCAGAGAGAGTTAACTGATGCTTTTAGTCTCCCACTTCCGGGAATAAAGACCGCCAATGAGGCGACAGCGCAGCGATCCTCGTAGAAAGTAACATTTAATAATAACTTTAATAGAATCTCGTTAATGGCACAGTTCACTGCTATCGTGCGTTGATGGTACTTCATGCTCTACCGACTGCGCTGATTAACCAGGTCGAAGGAAACCCCCGTACTCGCGTTAAAAAAACACGACAATCCCGGTAGAACACCAACGAGGAATCGATGCAGCAGAGAAGATGATCCGTTCCGTTTCTAGACGCGAGCTCTAATTTCAAAGAGTTCGGAAGAATTGTTCGTCGATAGGGATAGAGGAAGCGATAGGATCGTGGTGGTGGCCATCTGGGACGTATTATGGCTATCGAAGCGTTATCCGTTTGCCCGATAACCGTCCGCATGCCGAATGCAGCCACCACGATGGCCGTTGTTTCGGCCGCGGTGCCATTTGCCCGGAAATTCTCGAGACAATCGTCCGTGTTTAAATCCCTCCTCCAACTATCGGACAATGCACGCGTCTCCGATCGTTGTTTTCGGCCATGTTCTCACCGTCTTTCGCTCTGTGGCCAGCTGGCCATTTCGACGACCGATCGTTCTTCCGTCGTTCCTTCGTGTCTCGAAACGCGCGTGATTCCGTGCCTGGTGGCTTGATTAATCACGACTCGGCCGGAGAACGCGAATGCGTGCAGAACTCGAGCGGAAAAATGTCACCCCCGTGCTGCATTTCGTTTGAGTGCGATCGCCTCGTGTGCTCGTTCGTGCGTCAAACCATCGGATTGCGGCGTTTCAACGCGGTCGCGTTTAACGAGCGCGTGCACAACGATTCGTCCCATCGATCGTCGAATCGCTCGAACGCTGGCACGTGCGTCCGCGAGAATGGCCGAGCCACAGACTGACCTTCGTGATCGAGAACCGGTGACGTTCTCCTGGATTTTGTAGTCCCGAGTTTTATTCGCAATTCTTGCAGTTTCTCTTTCACAACTGTGTTTATTGTTCTTCTGTCTGTCGTTTACCACTTTTCTTTTTTTTTTTTTTAACCTTCCATTCTAAAATCGGTTCAATCAAAAGCGGTTGAAACTTAGTTTGATTTGTGATAATGAAAAATAAAAGGAGATCATTCATCAATTTAGCTTCGTAATAGTAAATTAAATTTAATATTAACTTTTTAGACAATAAATTACTTGTAATTCGAAGTGAATAAGAAATAGATATAGCAGTTCTAAAAATTAAAATTACAAAACAGAAAATTCTTGCATTTCTATAAAAATAACTTTCAATTGTTAAATCGAATTTTCAGTCATTTCATCAATTAAACGATCCACTTGAGCTCATTTTCAAGCGTGGGGCTTGTACTTTGAGAGTCGTGAATTTATTCTCTTCGAAGGACACGTTTCTCTCGAGAATTGTAGAAATTCAAACGTGTGTAAAAATGTTAAAAAATTTTTTCTTACGACTGAATCTACCTATTTTTTCTTTACAACGACCTCTTAATTTTCACCATTTTATTGAATTATTATTGAAATGACAAGACAGTGAGGCAAAAATTGTAGAACGAGTTTTGGGAAAGGAGAAAAACTACAATCCTCAAAACGATGGTGAATCTAATCGCAAAAAAAAAACTTGTAATATCTTTACGCATGTTTGAATTTTTACAATTTTCTTCCTGAAATCACCTTCAAAAGAAACGAACTCACAACTATCAAAATAGGAACTCCGATTTTTTGAAAATGTACGATTTTTCTTTACAAAGATGTATCAATACAAATTTTAAATTATTCATAACTTTCCATTGTTATTGGAAATGTGATTATGCTCTTCATCGTGTGATATAAAAAGAGAAACTGCCTCCTTTTCATCGCGAACTCTTCAATGGGGAATACATCTTTTAGATCCGCGGAATTCCGAAGCGTTACAAATGGGCGATAAAGATTTTTCGATTTGACGAAGCATCTTCTCTACCTTCCCAGTGTTTTCTCCGTTTCACCCGAAGGAAAAGCAAACGTCGAACGCGTCCCTCGAGCTATATCGGATTAACGAGAGAAAATTGCGCGCCACGTTTCTGTGTCTGAGAATTGGCCGGTCGAAAAGAGGAAATTTCGACACGTGCTGGTCACACGAGAGAGCGAGAGAAGCAAGTCCGGGATAAATTGAAACGTCGACGGGGGGAGGGGAAGAAGAGAACACGCGCGCGGACGTGTAACGAAGCGTCGAGAGGATTCGACGAGGACAGGATCGATACCAGTTAAACCAGTGGAAAGAAGTTGAAAAGCGTCGATCGTCTGCTCGCTCCGAGGATAGCTAATTCACGTGTTCGGCTAAAAACAGACTCGTCGACGGCGGAGGAGTGCCGGCCTTGCCAGCTGGCGGACACGGACGAATCATCGAGCTTCCGTCAGGCCTTAGAAATGGAACACAATGGTACCGTTCTTTTGACGTGTGACGCGTGTAACCGGTATTCCCGTTTTCCAGACGTTTCATCGGTTATCTTGTAAGCTCCATTGTTTTTTCTCGCC